GTTGGGAGGAAACCCAGCAGTACCCACCTCCAATTCCACTCTAGATAGTCTCACAGATCAGGCCTCTTACTACATGTGCGATGTAGCCCCAACCACGGTGCTCCTCAACATCAGTTGGGAGGATCCCAACACTACCCACCTCTCATTCCACTCTACACCTTCACCACCAAACTCCCTCCAATGGTGTGCCCAGAAATTCCAGATACGTTTGGAGGCTGGACATTCCCACCACATGTGTCTAGTGGACTCGAATGTCCATCTACACCTTGTGCATGCCAGACTCACCTCCATGCCTCTGCTTGTCAACCAGACCGCAGAGGGGGATACCATTAGGGACAGCATCCAAAGCAGGCTGACTTGCTTGCTATTCGGGAGGGAGGTTAAGACTTCCCAGAGCTTCTCAAACTCCGACACTGCATCTGAGAGATCTTCATCCCAGATGGCCTGCCAACGGGGGATTGCTACTTGTGCTGGTCTTTTCAGCTTGTGGGCGTATTATTTATATCCCACTGATATCGAATAATTGCGCAGGCCAGGGTTCCATCTTCAGCTGTTTTCGGTGTCCAACTCCATGCGGCTGGGTCTATACATAGCTGTCTGAGCGGCCGTCTACCCACCCAAGTGTGAATACAGGCTGAAGGTCTTCTTCCCTGAGTTGCCAAAACTCAGGTTGTGAGGGGTTGTCCCAGAGCAGTACAGTTTCTTCCTCCACCAGTGACAGGATATTCTCCGGGCCTTCACACTTCCACCGCTCGATGCGCCCGAAACCGCAGGGAAGGATCTCTAGCACTTTCCACAACGTTTCCTCTTCCCCAACTTGGTTCGGTACGTACCACGTGCTTGCTGGGTCCAGCCTTTCCGGGCCCAAGATGGCTAACCGTTCTTGGGGGATAGCATTGATCAGGAGCCTCCAATGCTCCTCAGTCCTCTGCAGACCCCTGAGTGCGGTCCTTACTTTGGCCAGTGGTCTCCATCCGACCAGAACAGGGGACCACAAATCTGAAATTCGCACTACTCCCCTCCGGACCCAGGCCTGACCGAAGGTTCCCCTGGAGCCATTTGCTAGGAAGGTCTGTCCTGCCTGGTCGAGCACTGCTGGGTTCTCAAACAGCAGCTGATTTAGTACTTCTTCTTTGGTGCTCAGGGGGTTCTGCATATCTGGAGGTATGCGGTTCCACGCCCGACGGATCGGCGTGCCGTCAAGGGATTCTAGCACACAGCCCATAGCGCCTATCCTCTCAATCCTCATGGAGATGAAACTATCTTACCACCGTTCTCTCTTATTACTATTATAGAGAGATGCACCGTCAAGGGATTCCATCACCCAACTCAATACAAAGCTGTAGGAGGTTCGTGAAAGAAAGCCATCTCTCACATTCTCTCTCGCTTGCTTTTTTTTTCAAAGCTAAGCTATATTCTTCTCTTAATTTCAACTTTCACTACCTACCTATCACTTCTTCCAAGCCTATATATGGGATCCTTGCGAGCATAGCTGCCTCTCACAGTCAAGGGGATGCATGTAGCCCCCCTCCCTAATTGGTGGTTGTCAGGGAGTAGGGTGGGGCCGCCAGTGGGGGGGCTCGGCTAACGCAAAGACTGAGCATTTTGCCAGGAGCTGCACCTCCCATCTATTTTCCTTGCCCCCATCGAGTACCTTCATTTGTCTATGGCCAGCACTCACTAAGACCCTTCCAAATACCGAGTGGGGGAAGCAAGCGAACTAACTCAGTTGGCTGGCACCCAGCATGCCTAGGCGGTCAGTGAACCCACTACCTCCTGAATGCCAGTTGCGTGCCTAACCAACTGATGTAGGCCGCTTGCTTAAGCCATCTCTCTCTCATCTGTGGAGATGCAGCAACCTAAACGGCTAAAAGCCATTAGACTGCCTATTATCTCCTGAACCTCTCAAACCCTTCCAGATGGTAACAGTAAATTACTTCTTGATTGACGTGACTGATCAACAATGAAAATCAAAAGAAACTGATAGTACTCATGATTTACAGCGGCAAAACAGCTGAAGGCGGACAGAAAACAAGACCCGGCAATCGGTCAAGATAGGAGAACAGAGAAAACACTTACACAACCGGCAATCGGTCAAGATAGGAGAACAGAGAAAACACTTACACAAACATTCTCCACACCTCTCTCTTCCACTTCCTCCTGCCAACCGGGATGAAGTATTGATTCATAAACCGCAGGCAAGGGCTGCCGAAAAACAACAAGAACCACACAAACTCATACATGCCAAAACGCCCCGATTTACTTTCCTCCTCTGTTATCTACACCCACTTTCAAGCTAAAATAAAACACCCAGCAATCTCACACGACCGTTCTCCATGCCTATCTCTTCCTCTTTCTCCTGCCAACCACCCTAAAGAATCAATGCGTAAGCTGCAGGCAACTGCTGGCCTCATGTACCTTCCTGGGCATGCTTGGCGCCCGCCACCTAGAGATAGACCACTGGATCCCCCGATCGGCATTGAGCAGAGTCTGCTGATGTTCGTAGGGGAGGCGACCTGAGGGGAGGCACAGGGATTGGTCCTGTTGGCATCATCCCTGATGCTACCGGCTGTCCCCCCGCATGTTCTCTCGTGAACACGTTTCTGGCTACAATTAGGAGTAGTGGTAGGTAGGTAGTGTGAGGTGAAATTGAGAGAAGAATATAGCTTAAAAAAAAAAAAAAAAAAAAAAAAAAGTAACCACAGCCACAAAGTCGCACTTGCCAAAACTCCCAGATCTACTTTCCTTCTATCTTATCCACACCCACTGTGAATCCACGATAGGACTACAAATTTGGACCATATCTCCATTTATGCGTGTGATTCTTCCGCAGGGACCATGCTAGTTTTCTTTGTTTCATTTCCAATTTTAACAGATGTCTGGAAGGAAAAGTATCATTTTCATTTTTTCCTCTGCTATAACTGATTTGATGCACACCTTAGCAGGCAGTGATTGAAAGCAACACTTATGCGTGTGATAATTGTGCAGGGACCATGCTAGTTTTCTTTGTGCCGTTCCAATTTTGACGGATGTCCCAAAGGAGGAGTATCATTTTCATTTTTTTCTCTGCTGTGGCTGATTTGCGGCACAACTTGGGAGGCGGTAATTGAAAGCAATCTCATCCCAAAGAAAACAGTGACAGCACGGTCTGTTGGCAAGTAGGCAAGGCCCGGTGTTGCATACTGTAACATGCAGACCAGAACAAGAACCGACCTCTCAATACAAAGTACACGATAACACAGCGGAAGACTTAGATACTAATGATCCGAACAATCAATATTGCAATGCAGCCCTGAACACTCGTCATCATCATCGTTATCTGGTGTGAAGGGGGTCTGG